GAGATTCGAGTCTTTAATTGGAGGCCCTCGGTGGTTTGGGCTGATGTGTCTTTATTGCACGGCAAAGAGATTTTAACTTTGAGACATAGTACTGATAAGGTGTGTGTGTGTGTGGGGGGGGGGGTTATTTTGCATAGTCAATAAAACAGATACTTATTTTCTTAGTTTCTCTCCTTGTTGTCGTCGTGTTTTTCCATCTGGCCCCCGCTGTTCAGAAAAGAAAACATGTTTGGACCAGATGAAGGACATCTGTGCGACCGCCATTATCACTTCCGAGTAAATATGACCGTGTCGATTTCGACATGAAGCGTTATCTCTGCATGCATACCCCTGTTTAGGATTGAAAGCGGAGTGGCTGTCATTATTTCACGATTATGCCGAACTATGACATGGATGCGGGGGAGCAATTTGCAGATTTATGAAAGATATAGATATCACATTTAGATCTAAATGGAGACAGATTCAAAAAAAAAAAAAGCACTTTGTCAAAGGTATTCACTATCACATCTTTCGGGCACTGAGCCATTGTGAAAAGTCTCTGCGAAAGGAATCTCACCGACAGGAAATGATGAAAAAGAATTCATCTGACCTTCCCTCGCGGCAAGAATAAGCAAGGAAGAAAAAGAGGGAGGAGAGGGCGGAGAGCAGAGTGAGGGCGGATGAAGTCAAGGGAGCCATCGGGCTGAAGGGCTTTCATAGAGGCGGCCGTCCTAAAGGGAGAGTCGGGCTAATGAGAACTCTCGGTTGGTCGCACACTGGCGCAAGTCGTCAGATTGGCGTGGAAAAAGCCCATAGGAAGGAAGAGAAGTCACGTTGAGCGCCTTGAGTCTGTTCGCCAAAGTCTTCGGAGGAAAAATGTACGGCGTAATCCACTTCAGGGAAAGACTTGGAGTATTTGGAGTTTGCAAAGAATAGAAATTCTAATTCCTGCCCGACATCGATGATTGGCCTCGTTACGTTTCCGTCGTCTATTCCCGCCAAAGCCGTAAGTGATGATAAGGAAGACGCGTCGGGAAGTCACAGGACGACGTGAGCATTCATCAGAAGTCATGCGCGTGTGCGCCTGATGAAATTCAAATCGCCGTATTTTCCGGACTACAAGTCGCTCCCGAGTATAAGTCACACCAGTCATAAAATGCATAATAAAGAAGAAAAAAAAAACCTACAAGTCACACTGGAGTATAAGTCACATTTTTGGGGGGAAATGTATTTGATAAAATTCAACACCAAGAACAGACATGTCATTTTGAAAGGCAATTTAAAATTAAAATAAAACAGAGAACAACAGGCTGAACAAGTGTACGATATGCTAACGTCACATGACGCATAAACAACGAACTGAGTACGTGACTGGTATGTCTCACATAACAACGTCACAAATTAAGAGTTCTTCAGATAAAGATAAAGAACATGCTAACAAGTTTACCAAATCGCCAGTGTCACTCCAAATCTCTCAATCCAATCAAATCTTCATCCTCTGTGTCACTTTTAAACAACTCTGCAAACTTTTTTTTTAAACTTTATTTTATTTTATTTTTATTATTTTTTTATTTTTTTTTTTTAACAACTCTGTGAACTCCGGAGGTCGAAGACGTGGCGCTGACGTCAGAGTCGTCATCATCAGTTGCTTTTCATCAGTTACCGCCAACGTGGAAAGTGTCAACACATGCCTATAGCACCCTCTTGCGGTTTAATGTGAAACTAACATGTGAAATACATTTCTCGACCGATTATCACGTTCGGGTCCAATGTTTGACGTTTCTTTGGAAGTGATTTGGCGTTTGGTAGGTGGCGGTGACCGATCGTATTCGGGAATATTCGAAGGAATCTGCGTGTGATTTATTTCACATTTCTCTCGCGTCACTCTTAATGAGTCTTTGTTGAAGTAAATGAAGCGTCAACATCTCCGGCCGTGTCTACACGCGGCGATTAGGGCGGCCAACTCTGAAAAGCACGTCAGCTGTGTAATTCAAGTTGCCTTTCGAGAGTGATGATTCCGCAAGCCGGTTAATGGCAGATTTATTAGCACGGGCTTGCAAACGCCGTCGTGGTGCCGAGCATGAAATTGAATGCAGAAACATTTGAAAATTGGATTCCACTTTTTTTTTTCCCCCCAAAAAAACGCAGCACTTCGCCAAGTTGCCATCTTTACATTGCGCTTAATTAAGAGCGAATGAGTGGCGCCATTAAAGGGCTTTGAACACACTTTTTTTTTTTTGAACACACAATAACCGATCTCATTTTCTTTTGTCTCCGACCTGTCTGATGTAAATCTATAACTCACTTCCATTTCCCCTTGACTTCTTGTCTCAGGTGAAAGAATATCGCTCTTTGTTTTGATAGATATAAGTTTAATATAAATTGCACAGCTCGTGGGTTCAATCTGGGAAAAATCAGACTTGTGAGAGGAAAAAAAAATTGGCCAGACAAAAAGTGTATCATGTTTTCTCATGAGGCGCAGGTTTATTGCTTTGTCACCTATCGATCCGGATTATTACAAAGCTTTGTTTTGTTTTTTTGTCATACTTTGTGCTTTTGCTTTGCTGAAATGGGTTTTATTATGATGGTGCTATCTTTTCATTTCCTGACTGCATTGTGTAGTTGTCGGAAAAAAAAGAAAAAGAAAAAAGGAGTCGAAAATGCAACATTCATATCAGGAAATGACAAAGGTTATGTTTGGTATGAACAAAATACTTTGGATCATGTGAACTGTAACTGTCATCTTTCACATTTTACCCCAGTGAGCTGATATTATTTACTTTGGAGGTGAAACAAAAAGGGCAACAATATTGTTCGAACATTCGATGTTGTTCGGAGTTTGTTTCGCCTGTCTCAGATGATTGTAGCATCTTAAACTGCCACCATTCTGTTCTTGTGTGTCTCCAGCAGGTGGCAGAGGAGGGCTTTCCCTCCAGCGTGCACACCTGCTGCCAATGTTTTCATGTCAGCCATGTATTTAAGGACGGACTTATTGCCAAGTGAGCCATCGGATTATTGACCTTGTTTGCTGCTCGCGCTCAAGTGTTGTTTTCGAGACCTTTCGAACTCGTCATTGACGTTTTTGCTCTCTTGTCTCTCGCTGGTTAAGTATTGCTATTATTTTGTCTTTTCATCTTGCTCTTGTTTTGTTTTGTGTAATTGGACTATTGTCATTTCGCTGATATTCTCGGATTTGCTATTCCCTCGCCTTTGCCAACGCTTTTTGTTTATGCCTGTTTTTTTTTTTCCCCCCCTGGCTCCTTGTGACCAGCGATTTCCGTTTATACTTTGTCGGTGCGCTTTTGTTCATCAGTAAATATTTTTGGGGGATGGATTTTGTTTGTGGGATCCAATTGCCGTTCAGTCCGTCCGCGAGCTGTGTCACAAACCATCACGACAAGCCTCACCTCACGTCTCTGTTGTCTCGGAATAGACTAACATGAGGGGGGGGGGGGGCATTGGGGGAAATGTAATTATTCCCCTCCCATGGCCCAGTAACCCTTAAAGGTTAATCACGGTGCGTCTAGCCAGCTCTGTCTGGGTACACGGCAGTAATTACAACACCTCATTTTCTCTCCCCCCCACTATCGGCCTGTTCTCGATGTCATGACAGATAATAGATGTGTCTCTCCTCACAATCACTGGACTATTTTTCCTCGATCTGGACATGACCCCCGCCCTTTTTTTTTTAAACCGCCTTTTTTTTCTATGTTCCAGGTAGAGATGATGATGTTGAAGATACCGTCATCATTTATGGGCTTGATGTCTAACTTTAACCCTTTCCTGAAACCTGACAACCTGAGAAGCTGTCCACTGTAGTAACCGCTGTCCCTCAAAGGGTTAACATATCAGGATCAACTAGTGGCTCCTATTGTGACATTGCAGACGGCTATAAATGGCCGCGTCCTGGTTGCTTAGTACAATGCGGCTCATCTGACAGACAATAAAGCTTCGTGAGTACAATACACACCACAAATGGAGCCGGTTCGTTGTTTTGGGAAGTAAAATGATGTCTGTCACTCTTCAGGGTTAGAGTGCACAATTCTGGTCTTGTGTTTCACTATAAGAATTGGTTCATGTGGCCAAAAATGAAAGCTATAACATCAATGTCCCCTTTTTTTTTCCAAAATCCAACATGGTTTTTCCTTTTCTCGACACCTACCACTCTGTCTGACATGTTTTTTTTCATCCTTTCTATCTTCTTTGCTCGATCTTCTCACCCATCTATCTTCTCACCTCTTTTTTTTTCTTTCCTTCCGATGCTTCATCACCACCACCCCACTGCCATCTCATTTCCCTTCTCTCGAGTTCATATCCCAAGTGGCTGCGACTCTTTTTGCCTCAAGCAAAAAGCTCAAGGTGCGCGTGCCCTGGGCATGGAAATACACCGCTTTCCCTCCTACCTTTCCAATTGTTATAAAAAATGTAAAAAAAGAAAAAAAAAGTTAACAGTGAAGTGATTTCAATGTGCTCCCATAACACAGGAAATAATGTACAACATTTTGTGGGGAAAATACGGTTGCCATAATGAAGTATACGTAATAAAGGTGTTAAAAATAACAACAAAAAAATAAAAAATACATTTTCAAAAAAATGGCAAGTGGAAAATGAATCACGTGAAAATCAGGACTTTGAAATGTGAACTGACAACTCCACACGGTCATACGGACCAATTATACAAGCCTCTGATCATTTTGCACCCCCCCCCCAAAAAAAAGACAAAAACTAAAAACAAAGCTATGAAAATCCACCGTTTGTGATTTCATAACCATTCTGATTCATCACATCCTGTGGGCTTTACAAAATGCGGCTATTGCCATCACGACAGATGGCAAGTGTATCAATGAAGCCCCATTTGGTGAATCGTTAGCAAAATGCAGAGATGTTTTCCCGGGGGGTAGGCGGGCGTTGCCTGCGCTAGCGCATTTATGACATACAGCGTCGCGATTGAAGCGCTGTCTGTCGGTGAGCGTGTCGCGTTTGCAAACATTCGAATGGGGGTATTTGCGTGAAAAGCTGACCTTGTGTGAGGAGTTGAAGGGTCCGAACTTCCTCCCGGACGCGGAGCTGCAGGACTTGCTGCAGGATGTTCTGCCTCTCGGCTTCTTGCATGATGCCCATTCTCTCCAGCTTTCGGTCTGTCAGTCTCATGAGAGATCGCCCTAATAAATTTTTAAAAAATAAGGTTACGGTATGAAGAAGATAGGTACTACAAAAAAAAAAAATGCTCATGTACTACAAACAGAAGCATGCAGCAGACGTCTCAGCAAAAATAATGTATTTTGCTTATTATTGCTGAACAATAGCACAACATTTTTGGAGTGCCTTACCACTTGCAACTGGTTTCTATTATTCCTTTTCACTGTTAGTCAAGTTCATCAGTTAGCGGGCCCTTTGTAACATGTGCGGGCGTAAGCCGATGACACAATATTTTCGGCTAACAAGCAAGGAATGAATTATGGAGGACCGCATCATCACTGGCTTATTCACTGTTTTTGGCACAATGACCCCCAGCCTAGAAATATTCCGCGTGGATTAAGTCTGATGCTGCTCTATGAAGAAGTATTAGGGGGCCATCGTGGAAAAAAAAAAAAAGAAGTGTTTAAATCAGGGGTGTCTAACTCATTTTTGTCGTGGGTCACTTTGGAGTTACGTCTTCCCATTAAGTCAGTGAAACCGAAATAATGTTTGATCATCGCATCGCATTATTACTTGTACACAAAAAAATGATGACTCGCTAGCTTTTAAGTCTGTCAAGTATGTGTTCAATTATTGCTTAAGTGAGTGTAAACAGAATTATTGCAAAATGTCACTGTTAGTTATTACGTATGACAATTTGAGCGTTCTTAAGAGATTTCAGCAAGGATCATGGAAGTTGACACGGATGATTTGCTTTCGCGGGCCAAATGAAATGATGTGGCGGGCCGGATCTGGCCCCCGGGGCCTTGACTTTGACTCCTGTGGTTTAAATAAACTCAAACTAGGATGGCTGTAATATTCTGACTTTGTATTGTCATACAATTTAAAGACATTCTCACACACTGTTTTGATCAATGACGATGTCTGACAGTCAATCACACACTATTATATCAGAGATTTAAAAAAAAAAAGAAAACCCACATACAACAACAACAAATGAATTCTAAATTCTTAAGTACTACACAGGTTTAAATTAATCAGTTCTGAACACTCGAGTGGCAATTTCCTCGCCAACAAACCCAACCTTCCACTGTTACATTTTCAAACCACAATAATTTCACAGTGCTCTGCATGGCCTGAACACAAGGAGAGAGTGGGAAGGAGGAGGAGTAAGTGAGTGAGTGAGTGAGTAGAGGTGGACAAACGATGGAAGAAAAAGCAAGCGTGATGTTGGGGGGGAAAAAAAAATTACATTGTGTCTAGGAAGGCATCCAAACCCGTCCCACAGAAATCCATTAAAGCACCACAACTTTTCCATAGCGGCTCATGTTGTGGTGGCACGTTTATAACTGTGTGTCGGGACCACAGAATCAATAGCAACAGAAGGTCCATTAGGATCTTTTATTAAAGGTGGAGTTGAACTCATTGATTAAACAGCGTAACACCAAGTGGGCGGTGACCACTGTTTTGTTTAACAAACTGCCATTCACAACCCAAAGGGGTTGAAATGGAAGTGGCGGTTAGAATACACACAGTAGAAAGTAGATTTCAATCCTCCGCGGGTTTGAAAAAAGAAAAAAAAAAAGTCATGCATTTCCGAGCTGACTTTCTATATGAGTGAGTGCTGAACAACCAATTCTTATGCACTTGCATGATAAGTGAATGGAAATGTGATGGCTTTATCACCCCAATTTTATTCTTTATACGGCTCCCTGCATTTGTCATTGCTCCTCTACGCTTCACTTTTGTATTGAGATGACTTTTTCCCACCATCGGACTTATCGGCCAGCCCTGGAATGAGGTAAATAGTTTTGGTTTTGTTGTTGTTTTATACAGTTTCTTTTTACTATGCATGGGCTTGTTTATTGGAGCTGCCAACATACCAGAACTTTCCACATGTGCACATTTATTCACCCTGATTCCTTTTGTTGGGATGGAGTTATAATAGGAATATGCCAAAAGCAGTCCTATGTATTGTAAAATTCACAACCCACCCTAAATCCCCCAAAATGTATGTTGGGATGGGGCGGGGGGAACACAAGTACCAGATTAATGAGTAGTGTGTCGGCAGCAGTGTTGCAAGGAGGCCGATTCATCTCGAGCTCTGGCCAAACACAAGCTACTTTGATGAATGGGATTGTGCATGAACAGTAGCACAAACGCACACAATGAATTTTGTGAGATTCAGAATAAAACGCAAATTGGGGAATACACAGACACCGAGTTTACTTTGGGTTGCGGTCACTCTGCTTTGGCCAAATTGTTCAAGAGGGGACAGCCTCCTATTGGTCGGGATGGATAAACAGTAGCGATTGCTAATCTCCAAAGAAATTAGCTCAGAGTTTTTATGCGATACCGTGTACTTAAAAAAAAACAAAAAAAAAAAAAAAAAAAACAGGTTACAAAAAATCCTTAATCCAGACTCACACAAAATTGTCCTTGTTTCTTACAGGACATGCCACGAAGAGAGATGCTAACCACTAGCTAGCTTGCGAGCTAATCGGGGCGCCTTTTGGCTAACGGACGGACAGCGGGCTTGTTAGCGTCGTCAATCCTCACTTGTGTCGGTTTAAGAAAAACGCCGGTACACAATATTCAGCCTATGGTTCGCAGTACATGATAGACATTTGAGCACGTAATTGCCGCTAATTATATACCCGGTAGTTTTTGTAGTTATATACCCACAATGCTTTGCATTACAAAGTATTAAAGTAGCTTGACTAACACAAAATACATAATTTATACATATGACGGTGGGCTGCTCTGTAAATTGTGGCAACCAGGGACGATGCATTTTTGGGGTGAAAACACGTCTAGCTAGCTAACTGAATGCTGTCGTGGTAAAAATGCTGAAGGTAAATTATAAATCCGTTACGAGATACGCACCCTCGAAAACAAACACCATAACTGCACTGTGAAATGAAGACCTATTGACAATTTAAGAATTCCACCCATGGATATTCCATAATCAATTAAGAAGAAGGTCACTGGCCAGGTTTTATTGTTCATGTCGCTTCTCATTAGAGACACCGTGAAACCTTTCGCAGTGATTGTAGCATAAACCAGAAAATGTGCATTTAAGTCAATTATCATGCCACGCTATATACCTTTACAAAAAGAGTCCGGGTCTTGTAATTACAACAGATTAGAGACTAATATGTAATTATGCCTCAACATGCTTTAATGCATTTTTAATGACATCTGGGTGTCTCCGTTAGGGATGGGAGGGAAAAGATTGAGGGAGGCGAAGCGGGAGGATGGGATGCATCGATTTCTTTGGGAGTGGGATCAGGATCTCGGTTGCATACTGAAGTAATTTGCCATTAAAACTCATACGCAGTGTGTCTGCACGTCCAAAGGATGCATTCAAAGAACGTTGAAATGAATGCGTGAACACAACCACACATCTGTAAACAATTTGCATTTCTGTGGGTGTGTCTATCTGCGCCATTTTCTTTATGTATTAAATGGTAGATTTTCCCTCCCCCCATTGTTTACTCAAACAGAAAGCAGAACTGAACATGCGTATTATTTAAAAGATTGAATTATGGCCTTGTATTTTGGTTTGTAATTGCCTTCATTTAATCCGCTGGAAGATTTTACAGCATAATATCTCTTATTTGCAAGCGGGGCATATGTGCATGTGTTGCGTGTGCAAAGGAGCTCCATTTGCCCAATTTATTGTATTCTCTTGAGAAATTATTAGAAAATGAGGCAGGGTGTTTTTTTTTCTCTCCATAATTTGACTTTGGTCCAAGGCACTTGCCCTCGTTCTTGGACAGCGGTAGCCTCCACAAAAATGTGCCTGGCCCTACACATGTATTTCATCTTTTTTTGATATATTTGTTTGTTAGCTCAACAACAACAATTAAAAAAAAAAAAAAATCCAGAAAACACTGTGGAATACAAATACGATGCACTCATTCTTTGTGGTTATACAGCCTAATAACACTTGTAAAATTAATAACGATGAATTAATTGCCGAAGCCTTGACAATAAACCGCAAGCGTGATGAAGGATTCCCGCCCGGCCCCGACAGGCAGGCGACGCTCGATCGTCCCAATCGCTCCAGACGGGGAAGGACGCCAACAGGCGCAGCATGACGCATCGTTTTCAGACCATTTACGTTGAATGCCAAACCCGAGTGCAAAGCCCCCCCCCCCCCCCACACCACTCATCATCATTCTGCCACTCGTCATGACCCCGGAGCGATTTTACGCTGTTAGACGGTCACCGAATCGAAGAGGCCCTTGACAACAACAAACAAACATATTAGCATGATCGGTCGCGCTCCGAGAAGTGGAGTGCATGGCAATTAACGGTCGTCTGTTGCCATGAGGACCAAAGCGTTGCACACAGTTGGGGAGGGGGGGGGGTGACCTTGAGGGATCCTTGTTAGGAAAAATGATTGACACGGCAAACCGCTTTGACGGTTTAAATCAGACTGTAGGTAGTTGGCAGTAGCCGCAGATTGAAAACGGCGATGTTTTGAAGGAGATGTGGCATCAGCAAGACGAGAGCTTGAAGCAGCGATGCAATAACCAATATGTACTGTAAACAAAATCGTTTCTGTTAAAAAAAAAAATTAAAAATTAAAAATAAAAAAAGGTGCGTAGAGAAAACTGGGAGTCAGCCATTAAAATTCCGAACAACAAGTGTGTGACTCTTCATTTTGGCAGAACTTCAAGGCAGGTCACCGAATGTGTCATGGGGTACCTGTGATGTCGTGTTGTTTGAAGGAGTCACTGTAGATCTGATGTTGATTGGGGCAGTGTTTCTTCAGCCACTTGCAAACGTCCTGTTGGGTCCACAGGGCGACCGGTTTGGACAGTTTCACATGGCCGGGCTGTCGGGAATAAAAGCACGTCAGACGTGTTATCATTTGGCGTCGTTTCAGAATGCTTTTCACATTACAGTGTAATCCTGGGGTGAAGTTAGTGTCTTGTCACTTTTTTGTTTTGGAAACCTTCAACATGGTTGCGATAGAAAAGGAGAAATGTTGATATTCAAGCTGAGGGCTGCCATTTTAAAACGACCTCGACATAGGACCAAAACTGCCTTGCTAGCCGTGATGTCTGTTCGAGCTTAAGAGGCTAGAGGTTGAGCTGCACTTAAGTTATTTTTGTAAACTAAACTACTTGCACAAAAAAAAAGTACTTTATTCGAGTAGACTATAAGCGGCCAGTGGCTGGGCCGCCTGTCCGTCATCGTCAGTACGTCACTTGTTTCAAGCCAAACCAAAACTGTAAGAAGTCCAGCATGGTTATTTTAAAAGCACTTCCATCACCGCTATTTTAGGACCATCAGATTTTTTATTTATTTTTTTTTAACACCCACCAGATCTTTTTCGGCTTTGAGAACATGCTTCTACCTCACACGGAGGGACAGCGCTGGCGCCCATCCTTTCCCGGCAGCTCTACAAAAATCGCTCAGCAAAGACCGCCGTTGTTCAACTTCAAGATGCGAGATCCCTCACCGAACATTCGCGTTTCAGCACGTAGCGAAGCAAAGAATTAAAGTGCTCTTGCCGGCGCTTTTGATTTTAATTGAACGGCTACTACGATCACAAACAAGCAACGGGTGGTGAAAATTCCACAACCGCTGCCTTCCACTTTAGCCTGCCTTCCGGCTGTGGCGTGGCGAGGCATAGCAATGATATTCCATCCCTCTCTTCTCCACCAAGGGTGTGGACTTAGAAGCCCTGGCAGCATTTCTTCTTCTTCTTCTTTTCCTTCCAGGACTCGCTCTGACTCACATTTCTTCCACAGAGCTCTCATTTTCACCTTTGCTACTGCAGTCCCTGAATATAGAAAACCTCACTCTCCTCTTTTTAAATATGGCGCCCTGCAGCACTTTGATACCTGTTGCCTTCCGTATTCGCAATCTGTTAAGAGCTGGTGAACCCGCATTGTGCCGCTCGCTTCTCTGTATCTAAGTATATCAAGTCCGATAAGTCTGTCTTCCAAAGCAGGAGGGCAAAGCGACAGATGCCCAACCGAAGCCGGCGGGCAGGTAGGCGAGGCCGTACGGCACTTAATGCGATTGCTTGGCAGCTCGCATTGCTGCTGATTCTGCAGGGAGGTAAAGACGTGCAGGATGGATTAAGGCAAAGGGGCGGTTGGGTGGGGGGGTGAGGGTGTAATGGAGGAAGAAACCACATTAACCATTAAACACAGCTCAACTCAATGTTAATTAACCCCGACTAGGGGCCTGAGGCAACAAAAGGTAGAGTGAGGCCAAATTCAAAAAGAATCTACAACAGAGTGAAAGAAAGTGGAGTTTGAGTGACTGAATAAAATAAAATAACAGGAGGAGAAAAAAAAAGACTGTGTAAAGCTGCACTGACAGATGAGGCAGAGGGCTGAAAAGGAGGAAATAAAAGAAAACGCCGGTGCCTCACAAACGGATTTGACACAGGAGACTCATTTTCCATGAACCCATTTGTGAGTCAATGGCCATCTGTGTTTTACATTCTGCCCTGATTCAGCCCAAAGCAGCGCTCCTGGGGCTGGGGGAAATAGCAGAGCCAGAGGATGGGGAGAACACATCAGGAGAGAGAGAGAGAGAGAGAGAGAGAGAGAGAGAGAGAGAGAGAGAGAGAGAGAGAAAGAAAGAAAACAATCATGCTCAAAGAGTTGTTCTCAAGACTCCGGGCCAATTAAGAGGTTTGAGTGACAGAGCAAGGGTGTGAGAAGAGCATGTTCTTTTCCCAAGTTGAATACATCTTGAAAACAAGCATGCGCATGAAATATACATGGCAAATCCGTGGCAAACGCACTCGCATTCGGTGCAACAGAAGCCGGAGAAATAAGCAACGTAATTACACCCGTGAAAGAGAGAGAGACTCGGCAAATGTGCTTCGACAAAACATTCCCTGCTGCTTTGTCCTTGGCTTTAATTGATAACCTAAAAGCCCAGCGTGGCTCACCAATATTCGTCATGTTGCCTTAGCAACGCGGCAAGGACACAGTCAAAAATTAAAAGCAAGAAATCGCAGCACCTTGGGGGGGACTACACAACGCGAAATAAACAGCCCTGCATGGTAACGACCGCAAACTACGGCGTAACATACACAATGGACCGTGTAATTGCGCCAACACTGATACGAGTTTAAAGATCCAATATGGACGTAGTCAGCTAAATTAATCCAGAGGCAATCACCCCCCTTTGTGGGCGCGTGCGATTCTGAATTAAATGCATTGTGGCTGAATGTTTGAAATTGGCATTGGCACTGAGCGCAGCGGAGTGGAGTGGATTGCATTGCATTGCATTTCACTTTTCAAGAGCAATGTCATAATTGGAGAAAAAAAATTAAATGACGTTTACAAAGAGAGTGAATTAAAAAAAAACACACACATTTTATAAAATGCAATAAAAGTGTCATCCTTTCAGCTTTTGGAGCGTGTAGCAGAGCCTTGACCTAAATTAAAAAATACAATGGAATAAAAGAGCACAATTTCACTGAGCAATGAAATAAATATTTCCAAACTAACTGCCTGAATATTTATTTTACCTGGTTAATGGGGCTTCTGCTCCTGAACCTCTAAAGCACATCGTAGCCAAACACTGTATATTTTCTTAGCAGGCTATTAAGAGGACAACTCACTCGAGTCGCCATTACCTCGCCTTCCCTTTTCATCGCAATAGTATTTTTATAGCGACACTGCCACCTAGTGCCCAGTCAGATGATTACAGAAGTGAGACATGTTTCTGAGACAGACAACACACGTTTCCATCGGTCATTTATCATTTTTCCAAGCCACACAGAGCCGCAACGTAAGGATGAAACCGCGGCGGATTGCCGACCCCTGGCCTAGTGAGACATTTTACTGACGTTGGAGAAGACGGCGTGGCATTGCAAATGCATGCTTATGTAAGCTTTTGTTAAATTATGAATTCTTATCATTTTACATTTGAGCATTATATTCTTTTAGGTTACAGTTACCTAAATTATATTCTGTTTAATAATTGCTGAACTATTCTTATGTTGCTTGCATCTGATTGGTGAAGAAAAGCAGGAAGTGTTTTCGTTACCGGAAAAAGATGTGTTCGTTCGAGAGTTACGGGGCAGACGTGGAAAAATAAAAGCTGCGTTCAAACGAAGTCAGTCTCTCCTTTTTGCCCATTCCGAACGTAGTCATCCATCCAAAACCTACGAACCCCTCAATTTACACTTTTATCGTTACATTGTTAAAAGGGGGCATACGGTGAACAAAATATTTAAATTTCTCAAATCCTGGGGCTGCTTGGATTTTTTTTGGAGGGCAGCAAGAGTGCTTCAGCATTCCCAAAAATGGATTATTATACATGATGAGCAATAAATAATTGCCATTGTCTTCATGAAGGCAACAGTGTACCGTATGCTAATTTTATGACAGAGACTATGTATAGAATAATATATTTGAGTAAACGGGTATGATTTTGGCTGGTGAATATGTATTTAAATGTTATTTTGCTAATCGTGTCATTAGATTGTAAGGTTGAAGTAAGTGGTTCTCCCTCCACCCAAAATATAGTAATAGTCCTGTATAGTTTTAGAGTGCCCTCTAGTGTCATGCACTAGGCAGTGCATGTGTTCTCCTGGGATTGCATGGGGGAAAAACTGAGTGAACTGAACAAGTGCCTATTCGAGATTCTGTCATCAGACTAATCCCCTCCTCACAACTCATTAGCATTCTTGCCGAGCTTGCTTAAACCTTTTTTTTTTTTTTTTTACCCTCTGTCTCCCTCAATCTAGCTGACAGGAGATGAACATCACCCCTTAACATTGTGGCGTGAACCCCTGCATAGACACATTTCGGCATCCACAAATTTGTGGGGGTTTTTTTTTGTTTGTTTGAATTTTCTTTGCAGGAAAGTATCCTCTGTTATTTGCTGAAAATTCAATTCAGCCTTCTGTGCTAAAAAATAAATCAATATCTAATGTAAAAAAATGTTGCTTTGGTCCCATTTTTTTGCGTCTTGGTGCCAAGCAGCCATGTTGAGCTGAGGGGAGGAGCTTCATTTCATCGGGTCATATGGTTGTCTAATATAAAATGAGTGTTTTGCCTCCATCTTGTGTCATCAATATTCTGTTACTACGACGACAGAGGATGGAATTAGGCAATTGTACAGAAAGCCCAGAGTGTAATGCTCAAGCTAATGCGAGCCTTCAAAATTCAAATAATTTTGGACAGTCCCTCACCCGTGTGAGCTCAGACTCTGACACTGAGCGATATGGTGGCAAACGGCGCTGAAAGACGGACGGGCTTAAGTCATGGTAGCCCGGGCTGTCGTCATCTACCAACACCGGTGGGCCATCGACAGACTCCTCCTCTTCATCCAGCTGGGATTCAACGTCTTCTGGGTACATCTGGTGGTCGATGCCATTGTGGCTCAAGTTACAGTGAACAGCTGTGCAGGTCAGAAAGCACATATGAGTCAAAGAGGAACAGAAGAATGGTGCTCTTGAAGAGGCCTAAACTGTTGCGCTTTCCTTAAATAATAAATAAGCGTGAACTAAATCCACAAATCACAGTGGTTCAATTAATTCCTGTGAATAACAGTGTAAAATTGAGCTTAATTTCTCTATAACTCATCAAACTTTTGACGCACGATTGCACAACATCCGTCCAAAAGACTTACCATCAATTCACAGGTTATTTCATGCTGGCTGAGTTCTTATTTGTTTTCATAATTTGTAATATTAAGACGGCAATTGAGCTTTTGGATGTTTGAGACGGTTCAAACCATATAACGTGTAATTCTAAATTCTACCGCTAGATGACGACAAAGGAAATCAAATTTAGCACAGTGTGCACAGTGCAATCTCGTTTTTGGATAATGTCGTGGAAGAATCAGATATAATTTGCAATGTTCCACGAAATAAAAAAACTTCACAAAATTAAGCAAAACATTCTATTGTACCATATCATGCCCATGACAGCCCACTGTCTGTATGAACTGTATGAACACAGATCTGGATATGCAAATATTTTCAAAATTTTCTGAAAATGAATAAGCAGTCAAACCACTGCAGCAGTTAATTAAAAAAAAAAAATCCCAACAAGCAAACCGCAGCGGTGCGTTACGAAAAAAAGGAAGACACTGTTGAATTCCATTGCCGCTCCCTTTCTTTGGTTTGAAAGGGACAATTACCTACAATTTCAAAACAAAGTCATTACAAAGATGAGGAAATTTTGAGGGCTTGTCGGTGTCGAAATCTAAAAATTAAAAGGCTCCTTCCGTGTTATCTGTCAGTTTCCACTCGTACATTTAATGGTTGCAACATCCGGGGAAGTTGAGGACAAAAGTATAGCTTACAAACTCGGTTCTGATTCTCATGCCTGCGGTTTTCAAGTGGTATACTTATCATCATATATTTTCGCCGCTGGCAATCTTTGTTTCCCAACGCACTGTGTGTAGTTTCCAAGTTGCCTGGCTTACGCTGTGTGACTGCCGTGTCAAAGTCTTGGCAGCAATCATGATTGACCACTTGGGCTGCTTGTCGACCAATTCGACCAAGTCGATCACCAAAACAAATAAACTAATCAACAAAGTTGACTCGAAATTATTTGCCCCAGAGGCATTGCCGGCACCATTTTATACGATCTACACAGATATTTACGGGGCCCATAAATCCATCATCCTCTTATCTAAACCACTCGTGGCCTTTTTTTACAGTCTGTTAGCACAATTTCTAGCAGGCTACCATCAAGATGGGACAGTCCTATTTCAACGATTCGTGGCACGATACAGAGTGGAAGTTTATGTTATATTATTCATTATCATTTTATGTTTGAGCATCATATTATTTCATGTTAAGAATACCTAAATTATATTCTGTTGTTTAATCATTGCTTAGACGTGTTTTTATGTTGATGGGTTCTGATTGGCTGTTGAAGTAAGAAAAGCAGGAAGTGATTTTAGTTGCGAGAGTTGTCTGCCATGCAGACGCCCCCCCCCTTTAATGAAACTCCATTTAAAGGATTCCATCTCTCCTTTTGCCGTTTGTAAAGTAGAGCCATCCACTAAAAACAACGAAACCCTCAACTTACACCGAGTTTGAACCAACTGGAGGTTTTTTTGTTTTCAGGTGTCAAACGGCCAACACATAGTGACCGTTGTTTGACTACAAGCTCGAGGCTCACGTCATTAGGAGGAGGAAATAGCAAGCTTCAGGCCCGTTCACGTTCCAGTTCCTTCCGCAAAAGGACCTGAGGTGCAAGAGAGGGGGAAAAAAAAATATCAAAAAAACTCGGAACGCAATTGAAATGCACAGCACGAAGTCTTGCTCCCTCTGTCTTCTTTGCTCACTCTTTCAGCTCCTCTCTTCACACAGACTCAACTGGGGAGATCATGATGGATATACAATCACACAAAGCATCCACAAGCATCACACAAAGGAGACAATGTAGCCCCCCCAAGCCCACCCCTTTAAAAGTCGAGGAGACTGGAGTGTGACCAGACGAAAGACATATGCAAGTGGATGACAAAATGATGACAGGAATTAAGGCAATGAAGAAAGATGGGGAGAAGATGGAGGACTGCCCTCGAACCTGTAATTATACAAGTGGGCAGAAGGGGAGGGGGAGGGGGGGGCAATGATCGAGCTGTTTTTTTATTTCTTTTGTTTTCTGAATCGGCAACCGTTACTATAAATAGCAACATTGCATTCATCACACTCCCCCCC